GGTCACCAAGTGTAATCGCCAGACTCATGGGACTGGAACCGTTACAGGATTCGAATCCTGAACCGGAAAGAAAAGTGGAGCTCCGAAGATCCGCGTCAGAAGCAAGAGGTCGAGATCTGTTTCAGCGACGTTTCATTGAAGGAGTCAATTTCCCTTCAAAACAAAGCATGCCACCAAATTTCCAAAACGGAAGGGCTTTGAGCAATGCCGTACGAGAAAATGGAGTCAAAGAAGATCGTGTAAGCATGAGAAGATCAGAAAGCTTACGAAATGCTAGAGATGAGCCGGTTCAAGCTCCAGATCGAGGAATGGACCGAAGAAAATGTTTCTACGATTCAGCAGATTTCGTTCCCGAGAGAAAACAGACCGTTTCCGTGTCCGGAGAGATTGTGAAACGTCTTAAGAGCAGAGGAATCGATGAGCCATCGAAAGATCCCGAGACTCTTAAGAAAATCCTCGAAGCTTTGCGGCTCAAAGGTCTTTTACAGACTAAGAAAGCTCCAAGCCATACGAATAACAGGAACTTTATTTATCAGCAAGAACGATCTCCAATTGTCGTTATCAAACCGGGAAGATCACCGGCTTCAGCCGTCAGAAGGATTGGCAAAGATTCGTCTCCTCCAAGTTATCGCCCAAGGCCTGGACCTTGCCGGAACTTGAATATTGAGTCGCCGCCGACTATGAGTCCGAGACGTAATCAGCCGGAGAATGAACGGAATGTTCTAAACCAAAGCAGAGGTAAGGGTTCGATTTCTCTGGGTAGAAGTGAATGTGGCGTCAGGAGTCCCACCAACAGAAGGCCACTGAGTGTTGAAACACAGAGGAGAGGAAATGGCAATGTAGAGCAGAGAAGAGTGTCCCCGGTTCAGTCCCCTCGGGTTAATGTGAGAAGAGCGGGATTAGATCAAACGACCAGAAGATTACCCAGAAACAGGAAACCAACGGCTGAGATTTACGATAAAGAAGAGAAGGTATTTATTCCAGCGGAAGATCAAACATCTACAGTTTCAGAAAGTAGCATTAGCACGTCCTCCCAGACTGATACGGAGGTAAAAAATTTGCTCAAAATTTTAAATTAAATATGTTTAATTATCATTCTCATTTAAACCAGTAATTTATTTGGGTGTTACAGCGATCGAGGGAAGGAAAGAGCCTTTTGCAGAGATGCGATATGCTTCTTCAAAACATTGCAGAGATGGCCGCTGCCTCGACTGAGTTGCAGCCGAGTCCAGTCTCTGTACTTGATTCGTCGTTTTACAAGGAAGAGTCGTCTCCTTCACCTGTCATGAAATGGAACATCGATTTCAAAGGTATAAAAAAATGAAAATTATACGTCTTGTTTTTGTTATTTATTTGGGCACATACTAAACCTTTTATGGGAAAGTGAAGAATTCTACGAACTGATTTAGATTGGCTAGATTCTGCATATGACGTATCTACATTGTAGTTTAGCACTATGCCTGACTCTGCTTCTTTGTCAAACAGTCTATTTCAAAACTCAGAAGCCTTGGACTTTGATTTGTTTAATTAATCCATAATTAGTCAAACCATTTTTGTTTGCACGGTGGGAAAATTTTCTGGGTTAAACTCGAAAAGTGGCTATAAATAGGAAAAGTGACTGATACATCTTCCATTCGCTGCAAAACAGTATTTACGGGTAAAATCCCCGTAAAGCCATATCCTTTGCTGAGCTTTGCCTGACAGAACCATTAGATTGTCATTTTACAGTATCCCATGCTGTCTCGTTGGTTTATTGTAGGAAAAATGGTCCCACTTCTCTGTTAAAATTGTTAAACTATGTGCATATGGGAAATCGACTGAAAGCGATGATGAATTTCATCTTCTTTCTTTATACATCATCTTCTGTCAGTATGTTTTAATCCACAATCCGTATTGATATTGACTTCGTTTCTTCATCAATCAATGCTGGGATGGACACTAGGCTTAAAACAAAACTGTTTTTGGGATCTTGCAAATTTTCAATCGAAGTCTGAACTGAGATTTTAACATTTTCTCTTTCGTTTATTGTCTGTGTTGGAAATCATCAGATCAACTTGGTGAATCAGAGGATGAAATGTGGAGTCCTGCAATCTTATCCCCCAAATCAAAATCCCAAGATGATTGTGATTTTATCTACATTTCCGATATCCTCCGAGCATCAATTTACTTGCATGATGACACTGATGTCTTTTTATTGCTCGAGAAACAACAATACGTGAAGGGCAAAGACACCTCCAAAGTGTCTAGACTCCAAAGGAAGCTGATATTCGACACCATCAATGAAATTCTCAACCGAAAGAATCAATTACGGCCATGGAAGCTCGTCTCCTTTGTGGATTCAGGGTCTGGGGAAATGTCGTTGTCACAAATATGGTCTGAATTCCAAAAAATTCGAGAGAAGAACGATTCAGACGACTTGATTGACATCATTTGTGGAGTGCTAAGAAAGGACCTTGCCGAGGATGCCATCAACGGCTGGAAAGGTTGTCCCTTGGAGATGTCCGAAACGGTCCTCGACGTCGAACGGCTAATATTTCGAGACTTAATCAGCGAAACCATCCGAGGTGTCGCTGCTTTGGCTGGGGAAAGTAATAACAATATTCTAGCACTTCGTAGGAAGTTGATATTCTGATAGCGACTTGATGAAAAAAAGAGGGTGGCATTTTAAATTATTCCTCTAGTGCTTACTTTTATTAGCTCCTTGTTCTTTTCCTCTCTTGTAATTTTATATTTATGTAGATTTAACACTTTTTCTCATCGAATCTCTATTTACCTGAAATCCAGGCATATCTAATGGTCGCTTTTACAAGCTGAAAAACAAGTGTGGGTTCATATTGGTGACCACAAGGGGAAAATATTTATTGTGAAGCTCGTGTGAGTTATTTTGACAATAATCATATAGAAAGAGTAATTGCGAAAAAAGGGTCATTGTGAGGAAAAGTTTAGAAAATGTCTTTCGTCCTCAATCGACGGATAATCATACGACTAGTACCAACTACACCTTAAGGATTGAACCTTAATTTGAATGGTGTTATTATTATTATAATTTGTTCAAGTAAATACACTTGACATGGGCGTATAATTCGTTATAAGCCACCTTAGCAGTTTAAGGAAATGTTATTCTTCTTCAAAGTTTTGGGTTCGAGTGTAGGGTATATTCGTTGTCAATGATTATAAAAGATTTTGAACAAATACCAACTTCTATTCACCTTATATTATTTAAAAAATATAAGTTTAAAAACACTATTTTTTCGAGATTGATGAGATCGAATGAAATATTTTATATTTTGGATTGGATCGAGAAAGTTAAAATTTTGTTTTATCTCACTCAATTCTTATCTCTAGTAAAGAAGGATGATGATTTGTTCATTTTGTTATCTTGGCTCTAAATGAATTTTGTTTTAAAGTTTAGAAAGAAACGCACAGGGGACTCTTTGCCGAATGACTTGATGTTAACGTTACCTTTTGAGGGCCATTACCTATAACTCTTTCACCTTAATGGGGACTACACCCCAAATGTAAAAAAAAAAATTATAATAGAAACATGACAGTTACTTTCTAGGTTCTGATGTGTCGGAGGACTTGATGTTAAGGTTACTATTTGAGGGCCACTCCCCTACTCTTTCTTTTTCAGATGGGAGCATTGTACAGCCAACTGTAAAATGGAAATCGCCATCGAGTAAATTTTGTTATACTCTCTGTCCCTCCTCCACTAAGTCAATCGAACAAATTCACAGTGATCCAAGAGGAAGAAGATGACACAGTGGGGCTACGGGCAATTATAGCAGGCATGCTCTTCGATGCCTCACACGTATTACCACTTTCATATCACGACCGGCATTTAACACGCACTTACGCATGATATTGTAATTAAACACGGGCAGAAATAAGATCGTCCATAGAATTCTATAAGCTGTCTTTCCCTCTATATACATCAATAGAGAAGAAAATAAAGGGCGGACAGTCGAGTACTATATCATTAAATCTCCACGGGTAAAGCCTTAATTTTGTAGGTGGCAAAAGTGATAACAGCGTGCAATCTTTGCTAAGGATGAAGTGAACTTGGTGCCTTCCTTTTATTTATTTTCCTGCTATTAGGTCGTTAGCAAACTTATTATTAATAAAAACGCTTTTAATCTTCCTCCAACCGAACTTGATTGTGTGCATGGTATTGTCGTTTATTGTGTTGAAGAGACGAAAATGAAATCAATGTCATGGCATATGGCAGAGCCTTTTAATTAAGATGCACTAAATAAACACTGTTATGTTGTGTTGTGCAATGCTTGAAAGCAATGTTTTGTTCTTCTTTGTGGCTTGTATAGCAACGAAAGAACCGGAGCAATCCATAGTTTCCCGATTTAGGTGTGGGCCTCGGTCTCTATGGTTCAGGGGTCGTCGACCATGTTTTCACATGGATGGCCATCTTAGCACTGGGCCAAGCCATTATCCCCTCAACTTTTGCAGCAGTCCATGTGTATAGGGGCAACGCCAACCTCAATACTTTTTGGGCTCATGCTTGGTTGACCAGGATGTACCCAAGTTATCCTCAATAGTTCGAGTACTAACGTATATGTATATATTTATTGTGAATTGTTTGAAAAAAATTCAAACAGATAATTTATAATTCCTTTAAACTTATAAAAAAAATATTTAATTTAATTTTTATAAATTATGATGTTAAAATTATTAATATTTAGAAATCTAGAATTATTTGGTCAAAAACGCGTTCTGAAATATGATTATTAATATAAATGTTTATATTAGTTCGTTTATTAAACGAGCATAACAAGCTTATAAATTAACTTTTTCGTAAACATCAACAGAACAAATGTATTTATTCAATTATTAAACAAACATAAAAAATTTATTCATGCTCTTTTACTCGGAACATCCATTGGATTTTAAGATTAAATTACCAAACTCAGTTTATCTGATCGTGGCCTAATGGTTTAGTATGAAGTATCAGAGAAAACTCGTCAAAATCAAACAACAAACTTCGCTGCTAGAATGACACAATATATCTAGGGGAACCAACAAAGATCACAAGCTCAAAGGAACAATTCTAGAGAACTACAACATATGAGTCACTGACCAAATATCCTAAACACATTAAATGAAGTTTACAATGAAACGCAGTCATTAAACACGTACTATAATTACTGGAAAGTCGTACCATCTAGTTAAAATCAGACATGTCTAATCCTTGGTAGTTTTGTTGATTAAGGACTTGTGGATGTGAGGGATGACACCACCTCCAGCAATGGTACCCTTGATAAGGGTGTCCAGCTCTTCATCACCCCTAATAGCAAGCTGCAGATGCCTTGGAGTGATTCTCTTTACTTTCAGATCCTTGCTCGCGTTTCCGGCCAACTCCAGAACCTCCGCAGTTAGGTACTCGAGGATGGAGGCCAAATATACGGCAGCTGTGGCACCAACTCTTCCATGTGCAGATGCCCTCGTCTTGAGGTGACGGTGGATACGGCCCACTGGGAACTGAGATCAGAAAGAAAAATGAAAACAACGGATGGGATTAAATCAAAGATAAGAAGGCAGACAACAAGTATAATGAGAAATACCTGAATTCCGGCACGAGATGACCGAGAAATCGGACGCTTCTTGTCCTTGTCCTTGTTTGCTGCGGTTGTTTTCGCCGCCAAAAGCCCCTTTCCACCTTTTCCTGCCATCTTTCTCCGCCCGAAAAATAATAATGTCGCATTTAATTTTCAATTAGGACAAAGGAATGAAACTAATAAACAGCTGTGAGAAAAAAAAACAAAAAACAAGATCTGCTAAACGTTTACCAGATAACATATTAAAGAAATTTACTTTGTGAAAAAAATAGTGATGGCAAGAGAAAGAGACCTGAGAGGTTTGGGAAGCTGGAGAGCGAGCAGTGAAAATCAGGAAGATTAGGGGAATCTTTTTTTTTTTTGCTTGTCCTCACTTTAAATGCCGGAAAACGTAACGGCGCTTAATTTTAGGTGGAAAAAACTCTCTTTCACTATTTCGAAAATTTTCGCCTCACTTTACCCAACTACCCTCTCTTTCTCCCAAAATCATACAACCCTACTACCTTTGACTAAACACGTGCCCTAGACTCCTTGGCCACGTATAACTCAAGTATTAGAAAAATGGGTGAACTTTCCAGATAATCATTCTGTTATATAATTTTCTGGCATAAATATAAAATAATTGTCTAAGCTATATTATTTTTTATGAGTAATTATTTAAAGTAATTTTGACTCATTTTATTTAGTATCTAACGTTATAAATGTTATTATTTTTTGTGTCTGAGTCTTTAAATACGTTAATTTTCTCTATTAAATAACACATGTCATAATCTTATAATTATAGAATTTTTATTTTTCTTACAAAGTAAAAATTTCATTAAAAATTTAAAAAATCCCCTACTCTTGTCCCACCTCCTTTCACTCCCTTGTTTCCATAGCATTTCTATGTTCAAATGGCCCACTGTCACAGTCTGCTAAAACAGCTTATTATCACAATCGATCAAAGAAATTTAAAAAATTAAATATTTGAGATTTTTGGGATTAGTGATTGAAATTTAAGGATGTGAAGATTTTAGGTTTTGAGGTGTAAGGGTTGTGACATGTCATTAGGTGGTCATCGACATATTAGTGGTCAATCATCGACAAATGGATCGTTAAAGATGATTGACGTTCAGAGTAAATGAGACCAAAATAAAAGATTTTAAGAGTGAGTTTTTTTATTATTAAAATAATGAGGTTTTTCAAAAATAATTTTTTAGGCTTTTTCTTTTAAAATTAAATTTTTAAAATTATCGGATTATGACATGTGTCACTTTATTTAACGGAGGAAATTAACGACGATGACGGTCGAAGCACCTAAAATAGTAACGTTGTTAATGTTAGACATCGTGATGAGTAAAAAAATACTTTAGACACCTATTCTCCAAAACAAATATAATTTTTACACTTATTTTATATTTAAGCCTAATTTTTTAGGCAACCGGATGAGTAAAAAAATATCTCTCGAACGTGCCTATAAATAATTACGGTTTTGGCTATAACTTATGTTCTAAAACGCGAGGATTGTTAAATAACACACACAAATTGTTAAGACATTTTAAATTCTCGAGAACCTCACATTTTTTTAAATATTAAATTATACTTTTTTTTAAAAGTGTTTATATGTTATAGGAGTCTCACGCCTTATAAAAGCGAAGCCTTGACACATTTTCTAAGACACGAGATAATTTTACGTGTACACTTTAAGAGTATTTTTCCAATAATACTATTTGAAGTTGTTTTTTCATTAAAACAATAAAAAAATCGTTTTTTTATTTAATAACGCCTTTTAAAGTGGTATCCACAATATTTGAAGTTTGAATCGTATACGTCTCCTTTTCCCCATGCTCAATCTGCAATGTATGGTGAATGAGAGCGACATCTGACCTTAGTCTACAAAACGCCAGCTTTAATCTACAGTAATTTCCGTTTCTAACAACGTCACACTGATTCCTATTTTCTTCAGTTTGTTCTGACGCACCGACTCTAAATACACACAGGGTCTTGTTTTTGGTAGCACTTCCACTTCCAGTGATTTGCAGTTGCACATGATGGGCACTGTTGTGGAGAAATCTGCTTTGATAATCTGTGGAGACTACATGGAAGACTACGAAGTGATGGTGCCTTTCCAGGTGCTGCAAGCCTTTGGAGTTCGAGTTGATTGTGTCTCTCCCAACAAGTTACCCGGTCAAAAATGCATCACTGCCATCCACGATTTCTTAGGATTTGAGGTAAAAAAGAAAAAGAAATGCTTCGCTATTTTCATCATCATATATAATTTCTTAATTTCAAACCCTTCTTTCTCTTTCTCCAGCTTTACTCAGAATTGCCAGGCCATTTATTCACGCTGAATTCGGACTTCGATGAAGTGAAGGCCGAATGCTACGACGCCCTGTTTATTCCCGGAGGTCGTTTCACCGAGCTTCTCAGTGTCGACGACAAGGTCTTGGGTATCGTTAAAGGGTTTGCCGATGCAGGGAAACCTATTGCCACGAGTTGTCACAGCCAACTCCTCCTGGCGGCGGCGGGGCTTTTGAAAGGCAAGAAATGCACTGCATTCGCAAGCATGAAACCAGTGATTGAGCTGGCCGGTGGAATTTGGTGGGAGCAACCAGGAATCACATCAGCTTTTGACATTACTGCTTGTCTCAAAGATGGAAACATCTTGAGTTCAATAGGATGGCCGGCGTATGCTGAATATCTCAAAACTCTGTTTGAATCCATGGGAGCCCGAGTTCATGCAACTAAGACTAACTCGGTGCTTTTCCTATGTGGGGTAAGAATGAGATAAGCCCTTTTCACTAGGAATATAGATAGCTACACTGATAAAACTAATCATAAATATATTGTATTTTGTGCTTTCCAAAGGACTATGTAGAAGATTACGAATTCAATGTCCCGTTCCGTGCACTCCAAGCATTAGGCTGCAAGGTCGATACCGCTACCCCGAGCAAGAAAAAGGGGGAAACCTGTGTCACCGCTATCCATGACGACGAAGGAGCCCAAGTTTTCAGCGAGAAACGCGGTCATAACTTGTTTATCACAGCCAATTGGGATGATATCAGTGTTTATGACTACGATTGCCTTGTCGTGCCAGGTGGGAGGTCACCTGAGTTGCTCGTAATGAACGACAAAGCAGTCGATCTAGTGAAGGAATTCTATGAGAAAGATAGGGTCATTGCTGGTATTGGGCAAGGGCAATGGCTCCTAGCTGCTGCAGGTGTTCTAAAGGTGATTTCTCACTATTACTGTTTGTTTATACAATGTTGATTAATTACATGTATGAATACATGTATATGGGTTTTGAACATTAATGAATCATGTAAATCAGGGGAAGAGATGTGCATGCGGCCATGGAACGAAGGTAATGGTGAAGATGGGTGGAGGAGACGTGGAGGAATCTAAATGGTGTGTGTCTGATGGGAAGCTGGTGACTGCCGTTGGATGGCCTGCCCTTTCTTCCTTCATATCTCAACTATCAAGGCTTTTGGTTATATCTTTTGAGTTTTGCATGTGACCAAGTTTGTGTCCTTCAGTCCAAACGCAACATAAAAAAGAAATGTATGCACTTTGAATAAAGTTGGTTTATCTTCAGTGTTTTGGATGACAAAGTAATTGTCTTTAGTCCAAAACTGGCATAAAAAGAAGTGTATGCACTATGAATAAAGTTGGATTAATCATACTTGCAGTTATTTGGTGAAGTTAATTATCTTAAAATTTCTTATGGCGATTGCTCATAAATTGTTAAAACGGGAGTTTCATTTTGTGAAACCTTACATGAAGAATTTTTCCTAACGAACTAAAATGGTGATTATGATACACTGAAAATGGAAAGCCAAGCAACAAATAAGATTGTGGGTTGTGGGTATTGAAAACATCATGTGAAGACTAATGTCGGCTATAAAATCATTTTGGAGGATGTTAGATATATACTAGATATGCGTCTTAATCTTATTTCATTTAGAAAATTAGATAACATCGACTATATGAATCACTTTGATAAAGAAAAATGAAAACTCACTATAAATAGTATGATCATTGCTAGAGGAAGTAGGCAAAGATCATTGTTTATAACACTAGAAAAGTTACGCAAGAGAGAAACTAATGTTTGAAGCTATGATATAAGAAGTTAAAGTCACGTGAATGAAACAAATCCTTGTCTGAAAAGACCTTCATGAGGTGAAAGATGACTCACTTGAGCCTTGTATTCATTAGATACATAACAAGCAATATCAAGTTTTATTTTGCTAAAGTAATCAATCACATATAAGAAGATATATTATTGATTTAGTACATACAAATGTTTGTTCAATGACTAAAACGCCAGTAAGTGATTCTTTATACTGTGTTAATCTGATTGACCATTCAAGAATCAAATATTTGAGACATTCAAAGAATTTCATGTTATGGTAAAAAAATGAGACTAGGAGAAAGTTAAAATGAGCGAGCGTTGATAATAAACGAGAGTATCAAGACCCTTTTAAACCATATTGAAACTCTTCTAACATCAAGATCGAAAGAGTTTGAATCATGCATTACAATTCTAGATTAGATTGTCTAAATCAATATTTGGGGTGAATCCTTAATACTATCCTAATTATCACCAATCATTCTCCTTCTAGTGATTTAGATGAAGATATTCCAATACAGATAGACAATGATTTCATATAAACACTTTAAGGTGTTTGGCTGTCGAGCTTTCATCCACATTCCTAAAGACGAACGTTCCAAGCTTGATACAAAGATAATAAAACAATGTACATACCTTAACACATCTAAAGAAGAGCTTGGTTTCCGATTATGGGATCTGATGAAAAAAAAATTGTTAGAAATTAAGATGTCATGTTTTTTAGGAGATTTTCATATATTGTTCATCACTAATTTCTTGATAATCCTTTGGTTTGATTTATAGGTCCAATTCTTAAGAGATTTTCATTTGAAAATGAGTGAAGTTGTGGACGCCAAAAGCAAGCTTGGAGGTAAGATCTTGATGCCACAAAGCATTCTAAATGGTTCACTTTATTTTATTTTATTTTGAATTTTCTTTCACTCTGTCTTCATAATTTAATGTCACCTCCACCCCCCCCCCCCAAAAAAAAAATTGGCCATTGAGTTTCATGATTTTCTTCTCAAAATTCACCTGAAAAGTTGGGTTCAAAATCCATCATAAAACAAGATCGGATGTGGGGCAGTTCAGGGTTGAAGTCTCCTATGGCATACTCTGCTGTCTTCACCAGGAAGACACTTTGTGGAGGCCTGCATCACTGATTACCATACAGACCGTTGTACTCCTCTTATTTGACCTGCGGTAGTTCATTGGATGCGTATTGAGTTCAAGTGTAACACTGATTACTATCCAAAGCGTTGTACTCTCCATATTTGACCCGAAGTAGTTCATTGGATGCATATTAGGTCCCAGCATAGCACCTTTTGTGATTTCATTGTCAATGGATTACTGAACAGTTGATTTTTTTATTATATATTTTGGGTGATTACAAGTTAATATCTCTTCAGAACTTTCTTTACCTATTGGCTTTTATCAAAAGCTAATGCGGACATATGTAACCAAAATTTAATGTATACAGTTTCAGTGGTGGATAAAGAAATTGAATAGCCAATCTGCAATAAACCAAGAACCTTTAATCAATTTTCTTTCCGTCAACTATTATTTCCTTCTCGCTACTCACATGTGTATTCCGACTATTTCTTCAAACTTCTATTAAAATGTGCTTTCTTATTTGGGATTAACAGGCAATTTATGAAAAGATTAGGGAGCTCTCAAACTGTCAAATTGTTTATCCAGGAATTGATTTTCTGAAGGTACATCTTCTTTCGCTTTGCATTCTTTTAGGCTTTGAGCCATATTCAGTATCACAAATAGAATATCGAGTTTTTCATGTTTATTTTGGTTCTTCAATTTTAATCAAGGCATCATATTTTTGTTGAAAAGTTACTTATTTTCCAAGTGTTTTAGGTTTGTGTTTTGTTTTGTTTACATGCATTGCATCATATCGGTGCTCGTTCTTAAATGGCATTCCTGTTCACTGGACTCTGCATTCTTGTCACTGAATTTGTTCATTTTTCTTTGTGTTCTAATCGGCAAGTGAAGCTGGTTGTCTTATTTTGGGTTTGGTGAAGTGCACAATCTTTTCCCACTTCAGTTTTGGTCTTTAATTATTTTTCCTGCTGTAGTTTTATGATTTAGCCTTTGCAAATTAAGCACAAATATTTCAAACATAGCAGTAATGAAAGATTCGTTTGATTCAGAAAGAAGCTGGTATTCCTAAGAGTCGTCAAAGTTGAGGATATTCCTGGTTTGAGTAAGTTCTTTGGCTTTTTATTGTGTTTGGCCGTTGTTGGCAATTATATTAGATACTTGTTTCTCTTTTCCATGTTTTATATAAATGCTGTATTGCAATTATATCCATCAATATTTCTAGCTTGACAATTTGGGTGAATATATATTTGTTCCTTTTAGATAAGCTTCTAATTTTCAATATGGAAGGTATCTTGAGTTTATCTTTTATCTAACAATTTTCCATTTCCCCCTATTTGTTTTTGTTGCGAATATTCATACATATTCAAAGGCTGTCTGCCCGCTGGAAGTTTTAACTAACTAAATCCTAAATTTGTATTAATTTGGTAACAGAGGAAGCCGGATGGACTCCTGATCAATGGGGTCATACACGATTTAGATCCTTAATTGTATCTGCAACAAATCAGAAACATTTAACTGGTTTCATGCGCTCACTTCTGAAGGCAACTTTCTGAACTTTTAATTGGTTATCATCTGCATATATCTTCATTATTTCACTTGTAATTATGTTTAATCGATGCTTAATTTCCTATCAAGTAAATGTTGGGTATAACTCTGAGTAATCATCATCCTGTTTCCTTATGTTGCAAATGAATGTGGTTAAGAGGCTTGAGTAAAAAGCATCTATGTGCCCTTCCTTGGATTCTAAGCAAAGTGATGATGTTCATGCAGTCAATGCACGAAATGCTGATGCTTGGCCATTCAAAGAGCCAGTTGATGCTCGTGATGTACCGGATTATTATGACATCATCAGAGATCCCATGGGTAAGTTTCATATAAACAACTGTGATAAGGTGGTGTAGCTGTCTAGTGGGTTTAGGTTTGAGTGGGAAAGTTGTTTAGAATTTTTCTCCTAGCAACTACAGGTGTTTGCAGGCAATGCCAAATCTCACTTAAGTGGAAAACTATAAATCTATGAAAGCACTGCATGATATTTAGTTTTACATTTTCGGTACCAAACAGACAACATTAACCAATTCCTGTTTTAGCTAAATTATCCGCCTCCCAGTTAGCACTTCTCGGAATGACTCTCAAAATCACATTTCTCTCCAAAACTGAAGCAACGATCTCCTTCACTACAGAGACAAACAAGGGAGAGCAAGAACCAGGCCCTTTGATTTATTCCACAGCTTTGGCACAATCGGATTCTAGGATTAGACGCCCCATTCTGCTCCAAGCGGAATCCATAAATAGCCTTAAACCAGACTTCAACGCCAAAAGCTCCGCCAAAATAGGAGGCCCAAAACCAACACTTTCAGAAAAGGACCCCAACACAGGACAATCTGAATCTCTAAGTCTACCACCAATACCCCCTCTGCTCCATTGATTATCCATAGCCCCATCGACATTAACTTTGAAAAAACCAGCAGGAGGAGAACACCATGACGAGGAGGCAGATGTAACTCTTGGACAGCTTGACCAATGATCAGCCATAGAAGGATCCCCCACAAGACAGTCAAAAGGAATCAAAATTTTGGGAAATTTTACCCAAAACCACGCTGAAATTCTATACATAGTTAAGAAGTATAAATTTGCCGAATCAAGCTTCTTTTTCTCAAAGACAACCTCATTCCTAAATTTTCAAATCGGCCACACAACTGCACCTGGGATAAAAATCCAAATGTTCGACCTCGGAACTAAATTCCCCCAAACAGAAAAAAGCTGAGCAGGATTATCAGGCAAAGCGAACTGCACATTCCACAATCTCAAAAATTTCGTCCAAAGATCCCATGCCACTCCACATGAAACAAATAAATGACCTACCGATTCAGGAGCCAAACCACAAAGAGGGCAAAGTGAATCTTCAAGCGAAACACCACGTTTTACCAACTACACTTTGACTGCCACCTTCTGATGAAAAACTTGCCAAACAAAGGTTTCAACACGAGGGGGAGCCACACCAAACCAAACTTTCTTAGACCATAACAGATCATTTTCAGATGAAGCATTCATAAGCTTCATGCAAGAGCTAACCGAATAGGAACCCTCCCCATTTCCTGACCACACACAACAATCATCCTTAAAAGACTCGTTCGACAAATTGCAAAGCAACGCATTCAATTCCACGCACAGTTCCATCTCCCAATCCGCTAGCTCCCTCCTCATTTGAACATCCCACCACCATCCCGAAGGGGATTGTTTCCTAAAGGCTTCAATTTTCCCATCTTTGCTTAAGGAAAGTGCAATCATACGCAGAAATCCCTCTCTAAGGAGAATATTACCCACCCAACTATCATGCCAAAAGGAGATATCCCTCCCCGACCCAACTTCTAAAAGCACATGATTTCTAAAGCACACCCCAAAATCATCGCTAGACGAACAATTTTTTATCACACCTTTCCACATCCATGAGGCTTGAGAATGTATCAAAATTTTCAACTTAAAAGATCTCGGATCCATATTGTTTTTACAACAGATTGCTCTCTTCCACCACGAATCCTTCTCGCTAGCAAATTTCCACGCCCACTTACCCAACAATGTTCTATTCATAAGATTCAGATTTGGAACACCGAGCCCTCCCAAATTCTTCGGCTTGCACACCGCAGACCAAGCAAATCTGAAGACTGTATAGAACTTGGAACACCGAGCCCTCCCAAAACCTGACTGAAATTTTTAGTTTCTATTACGAATATTTACAGCTCAGTGGGTCATGCAAACAGATATAAAGTAAAACTCAAAGATCAACGTTAATGGTTGCAACCACCCATTATAACAAAACAATCTCATAAGTAAACCACTACTAATCACCCAAAATTGAAGCTCATGATTTTCAAATCAAATAAGCTGCATGAAAAGCAGAAGCATGCCTTGAACTTTTGATCCCGATTGAAACGTGTGATTTTCAGCTTGAGCAGACGAATCTTCTGCCTTCACAGCTAACGCCTGGATTTTTTTCGATAAATAAAGGAACAAAAAATTTACTAGTATTAATAATAGCATATAATAGTAACTAAAAACGGAGATTATAGAGATACAGAGGAATACACGAGAAAGAACAACCGCGGCGCATTCTAGTTCGAGCTTGCTCTCGAGGATCGCGCGGAAATCATCCGAATTAATTGGGACTGTCGGTTTTGGATCAGACGGAGGAGGATTATGATTCTGGTTGTTAGGCCTTTCGATCTCCACCGCGTCAGCATCTCCGACACCTTCTTCAGCTTTCGAAATGGACGGCTGAGGTGGCTCCAAGGACGGACCAATCACATTGTCTCCCGCACCAGAAACTTCTTCCAGAAACCTTTCCAAGGCCCACTCGGAATGGCTTCGGCTCATCCCAGCTGCAGCGTTGGAGGCCGGAGCCGCCCAGAAGCAGTAGGAGAAATCGTCAACCGAAAACACAGGATTCATCGTTTTCTGTGGAATGCTTTTCCTTCTCTCTCTCTTTGGCTTCTATCATTTATGCGGGAACAAACATAAAAAATTCTCTGCTTTGTTTTTATAGAAAACAATCCAATAGTATCCACCCATGTGGATAGTTTCCACCTCTTTCGTACGGGTATGAAAGGTTAACAAATCCGATAAACGTCTAATAATAATATTTTAAGTAAAAATAATTTTTTAGATAATTTTTTAACAAAAATATTAAAAAATAATAATATTTTTAATAATATTTTTTTAATCATATATTATATTGTTGTACGACAGAACTTTCCGTGTCTGTGGGCTATGCCAAAAAGAGAGGCGCGGGACTATGCCAACTTGTAAAATGTAGCGCTGTTGTCCAAATACTAGGTTTTATTATTATTATTATTATCCTTTAATTTGAAGATTTCGTCTTGATTAATTTAGATAGATCTAGATTGTATATTTGGTTTTGATGAGTAAATCTTCTAAAGGAAATTTTTTGTATACACAAAGACTCGAACCTAAAATTTTACTTAAGTGATATTAAGTTGTTAAATTTTACTTAAGGATATTATTTCTGAATGTGTTTATTTTGCAAAATAATATATATTAATGATGTTTACATTATACAATTATTACTCCATTTACTTAAGCTATTTTTTTGAATAAATAATTATGGTGTAGGAGAAATATCTTATATCAAATCGTGTGGAAACCCATTGTTAGTCTAACTGGAACTTGAATAAATAATTAAAGTGTTTCAGAAATTAATGAATTAAGTCAATGCTATTTTTTTTATCAATAACCTTCTAAATATTATTAAATAATTATTTCTTAAATCATTAATAAAATAATTATTAAATGATATCATAATTTTAGTGATCTAAAATTTATGATATCTAAAATCTCAAATCAGATAGCATTTAACATTAAAAAATACACACCTCTAATTAATATATGTAAATGTGAGTTTTGTGGGATTTTAACTTGATCGAAGTATTGGGTTTAGTTTAAAAAAGCATGCTAGACAGGAATACACATGTATTAATAGCATATTGTGATTGCTTGAGATGTCATGCAGAGGTACATCAGTAAACAAGCAGGGAAATTGATATAAATAGGGATGTAAAATTAAGGTAACCGTTCAGGTTTCAGTCGGATCTTATCAGGTCAGGTAAAAACGAATACAAGTCGTGTCAGGTTAATTTGATGGTTCGACTCAGATCAGGTCGGGTCTAGGTCAAATTAGTTCGAGTCATTTTTAGGTTGATTTGACATCAGGTCTAGTTCGGGTTCAGATCGAGTTAATTTCAATTCGGATCGATATCAGTTCAGGTCAAAACAGTTCATGTCTGGAGCAGTTAAAGACCACGTTAATTCAGGTTCGGATAGACTTCAATCGAATCTCATTCAGATTGGGTCACATTATATTATATAATAATATAATATGTATAAACTATATAGTTTATATAAACTATATAATATATAAACTATATAGTATATAAACTATATATTATAAAATATATATAACAACATAAACTCTATATAAACTCTATAGTATATAAACTATATATTAAATATACAATATAATATATAAACTATATATAGTATATAAAGTATATATGTAGTTTATATTTATATATTATTATGTATAAAATATATTGTAACATCTTCAATACCGGGTTAGTGACTAAATTATAAAATTTCAAAATTTGGTGATTTAAAGTGGAAAAGTTGAATAGTTCAATGACTTATTTAAAATAATATATGAATGGTTATTGGTAATTATTAAAAGAATGAAATGGCAAAATGGTCATTTAATAAGGAAATAATTAAATAATGGTTAGTGGGTATTATAATACCCATGTGAATCATAATTGAGGAGATAAGTTTCCAGCTTATCTTCTTCAATCTCTTCTCTTGTTCCAACCGTGAAGCCTCATAGCCAAGGTGAGATGATTTTCTTATGGTTAATTTCTGGAAATTTCAAGAGGGTTTTGATTCTTTAGGTGTTAATTAAGCTTAAGGAAAGCTTAATTTGTTATAAAACAACAAGATGAAAGGTATATAAGAGATTAAATATTAGGGGTTCTTAGATGAAATCTTGAAATAAAGTTCATAATAAGAATTAAAAGTTGGATTTGATTTGTCATAAGTGTGAATAATAAGTTATAAGTGTTAGAAATAAGTTTGGATTACATGGAAAATTTGGTATGATTCTTAGCCTTAAAAATTTGGATGAAATAAAGAAGATTATATGAACAAATAGTATTGATATGGCACATAAGATTTCATGTCTATGTTTTAATGTAATAGAGGGAAATAAGTCTAATGTGTTGAAAACATTTTGATATTTCGATATAACAAATTAAGTTAAATGAATTTTAAGATTTTCCAAATGATTTTCTAAATATATTCGATATAATTATTCGAATATCAAAACATTACTCCAAATATTTCAAAAATCATTTTTAATCCTTACTTAAGTGTAAAATTAAGTTTTAATCTTAAAACAATTTCAAAATAATCTTTCAAAGTATTTCGAACCATTTCAAAGCCAAAAATTCCAGATTGCTCAGAGGGAACCGATTCCCCCCAAAGGGGGTACCGATTCCCCCCTGAATGGTTTGGCTCCGAGATTTCCAGAATGCTCGGAGGGAACCGATTCCCCCATAGGGGGTACCGATTCCCCCCTTATCAACGGTCGAAATATTTGAATTTTACACTTAGGGAACCGATTCCCCCACGCTCCAAGCTGTTTTATTAATTGTTTTCACACTAAAACGGCTATATGATCTTCACTAATCATCCCCAACGTTCATAAGTGATTCAAGGTGTATTTAAACAAGTTCTGAAGCCCTTGATCAACAAGAAATCATAGAGAAACAAGAGAGAAAGAATCAAATACCAAGTTTGTGCAAATCAAGCCAATTTTCCTTTCAATATTCATTTTGCTTTCAAGAACACCATTTGTGCTCATTTGTAATTATCTTTGAGTGTTCTTTTCTTGTTCTAGAATTGTGCAAACATCTTACCTTGTGAGGTTTTCCTTGTAAGTTTGCAAATTTGTAATCTTCTCTTTGGGAAAGAGTGTTCTCAAGAATTAGGGTATATTCTTGAGGGTGTTGTAAGGTTATTTCTTTGGCCTCAAAAGAAAGAACAAATTAGTGAATTTGTTGGAAAATCCTTAGTGTGGATAGCTAAGGTAGTGGACGTAGACTTTGATTGAGAAAGTCGAACCACTCTAAATCGCTGTGCAATTACTTTCAATTTTTTGCAAAAGCTTCCATCAAATTTTTAATTGCCAATTCACCCCCTCTTGGCCAAATCCGTCAATCGATTAACTCAATAATTGGTATCAGAGCCTAACTCATTTGAAGGTTTAATCGCCTCTTGAGTCGATTCGGGAAGAGTTATATCGATAATCAAAGTCATCAATGGCCTCCGCTTCAAACTTCGACTCCGGTCTCGACTCGATGCCCGTCAACAAGCCTCCTTTCTTCAATGGAGCTAACTATGCCTATTGGAAGAATAGAATGATGTACTTCATTCAAGCAAGTGACATGGGAGCATGGAATGCTGTAGAAGAAGGATACATCAAACCTCTCACTCATCCAAGGTTGTGTAGTGAAGGAGAGACAAGAATGTTCCAGCTCAACTCCAAAGCCATCCATATCATTTTTTGTGCTCTTGGACCAGATGAATACGGAAGAGTTTCATCGTGTACAACCACCAAAGAAATATGGGACAAACTTCAAGTCACTCATGAAGGTACCGATGAGGTAAAGAAATATAAAATTAGTATTCTAACGCATAGCTATGAAAATTTCAGGATGAAACCAAATGAAGATATCAAAGCTATGACGGATAGATTTTCAACGATTGTTAATGGTCTCAAATCATATGGAGAGATCATTTCAAATGAAAAGCTTGTGAGGAAGTTAGTTTACTCCCTCCCAAAATCGTGGCAATCAAAGAAGACGGTAATCATCGAGTCTAAGGACTTAACGTCCTTAACTCTTGAAGAGCTAATTGGATCACTCCTCACTCATGAAATGATGCTCGAAGATGAGGTGGACCTCGACAAGATTGACGAGACACCAAAGGAGAAGGAGAAGAAGAAAAACATTGGAGTTGCTCTCAAATCCACAAAAGATGAGAGTGATTCGAATAACGATGACGATGACGAGGAAATGGCATTGTTTGCCAAACGGTTCAGAAAAATGATGAGACCTTATCGAGGAAGAAAATTCAAACGAAATGAAGGCCTCAAAAATGAACCGAAAGAGAAGGACCCAATCATTTGCTACGAATGCAAAAAGCCAGGGCATGTTAAATATGATTGCCCATAATTGAAGAAAAAGGGTCAATCAAAGAATAAGCACAAGGCTCATGTGGCTACATGGAGCGATGAAGAAAGTTCTGATGAAGAGGAACAAGAAGTAGATAACTTGTGCTTGATGGCATTTGGGAAAGTTTCTAAGGTAACCTCTAACTAATCCGATTTTGATGATTTATCCTATGATGAGTTATTAGAGGAATATAATGGGTTGGCTTTGGATTATGAGAAATTATTTTTAAAATATAAAAACGATGTTTCAAAATTGAAAAATGAAAACAAACTCATATCCAAAACCAACAACGATCTTGAAAGTAAAATCAAAGATTTGCAAATCAAACTAGAAGAGTTTGAAAAGAAAAATTTAGATTTGCAAAATTTACTTTCAAAGATCAATGATGATCATCAAAAGAAAATTGATGATCTTAAAACTTCTTTTGATAAAGTTGGAACAAAACATTTTGAAAAATGTGGAAATTCAAAATCCAACTTTGTTAGAAAAAGTTTTAGAAACTACAATCATAGAGGTCCCTAAAGAACCTCTAATGGAAAAATCGTTAGAAGCATGTGGGTTCCTAAAGAACTCATTACTACTAAAGATAAAAATATCCTACACAAATTGATACCTAAGGGGACTAGGATTTTGGAAACTAATGAATATGGACCCAAAAGAATTTGGGTACCAAAAATCAAAAATTAA